AAAAAAAAAAAAAGAAAAAAAAATCTGTCATAGCATTCTGTGTAAATTACTACCTCTCCCAGGACCTGTATCTACAGCCAATCTTCTTTTAAAAAAAAAAAAAAAAAAAAAAAAAAAAAAAAAAAAAAAATAAAAAAGGAAAAAAAAAAAAAAAAGGAAAAAAAAACCTCCAAACCCAAAACCCGGAAACTAAATGACTACTGTAGACACTTTTAAGTTCCCTGTCAATCGTTTCATTACAGCAGCATCATCTGTTTGAAAATATAAGCAATTCCCTCATCTAATTATAGGGAGGATTTGAGGTTCATTAACATTGCCAAGGCAGAGAATCAGATGTGCAACTGCAGAGCTGTGCTCAGTGGCCTGCATTCTCTGTTTCCTTTTATTTGCTTTTTCAAGGTCTCCAAGACTTTTTCCTGAAACCATAAAAGTAATTCTTTSCCTTAAAATAGACACGTGTGTTTAGAAAAAGGAAATTACTGCATTTTGTACTGTACTATTATTGGGCAAGGTCACCAGAGAAAAATAATTTCACCTAAATCATTTTATCTCTGATTCTGGATGAAAAAAAAAAAAAAAAGAATAGGATACAAGCAATCATTACTTTTGAACAACACATCACAGGAAGCCTTGTGTTTGTCTCACAATTTCAAATATTGCTAGGTAATGCAGATGAAGAGGAAACCTAACATGCCAAGAAAATCTCTTAATTTTCAACACATTTTGTGGTTGTTTATGGCTTAACATGCTAGCCAAGTGTAAAATGTTGCCTTGTATTTCCTAACTGTGTTTAGAAACTAAAAACACCAAAGTCTTCATGATTGCTTCACTTCCTTAAAGAAATAATAGCATTTTTTTTGTATGAATGTGGTTTAAACAATGACATTTTCTTGGGACATCTGTTTTGAGATTGCATTTTGAATAGATATGAACTCATTTCCTACTAAGCAAGTAATTTACTATTGTTGATAGTTGTTTACAAGTTTTATGAGTCATATTTTAGCAAGTGGCAAAGGTCTTAACAAATCCTTTGAGTATTCCCTAAAGTGTATGCATAGTGTTTTCATTTTATAAAATGTTCGGGAAGCAAAAGTATACGGACTGTTCTTCACTTCCTACCAAGTTATAGATAGCAAACTCTACCTCACAGAAATAGCTTTAAAAAGGTATTTATTTTCAAAGGCTTTTATCTTTTGCTACTGCAGGTTAATGAAGTAGGACAGCAGGGCAGTAAGTACTTAAGCAGCAAGGAAACAATTGAGATGCTTTACCAATCCATTGCTTCAGAGCATCATATGGTAAACATACAAATGGTCCTAATATTACACTAAAATGTTAATMTGACAAAGAGTAGAACCTCACCAGTGAAATTTAAAATTTGACCTTGCCACTCTCTTTCTTTTCATCCTGCAATTAATTAAAAAAAAAAAAAAAAATCCAACAAAAAAATAAACCACTAACACACAGCATAATCTTTCTTTTTCTTTTGCTGCCCCACAGAACTCATTTTTTAAACAAAACCCCAATAATTTATCTACCTTGTGTGTTGTATGCAGAATTGCCACTAAAAAGAACCCAGGACATTTTTCCTTCTTATCTGCAATGTAGCTCATATCAGCCAAGCTGTCACAAGACAGTACTTGATATAAACAAGAGATTGCAAAGACATCTCAGTAATCAATATTAGGATGGCTACAGTATGGAAGCCCCAACCACTGCATATCATTTGTCTCAGCATCTATTTCTATGACCAAATGAAGCATTAATTCAAATCATAAATCTATGGTGATTTAAATCTGGGAATGAGCACCTGCCTGCTTTAATGATTTATTTTGTACATTTCAGTAAGCAGGAGATTTGTCCATATGAACTGACAGGTCACCTTCAGATGCCAGTAGCAGACTGTTTATCACCATGCAGACTAGCATCTCATCTTAGCAAGTAAATATTAAACTAAAAGAATCCAATTGATTGTGGATGGGGGAGAAAGGCGTTGCAGCCATATATTTTACTCAGTGTGCTAATACCTCACTCTGATTCCTCTGTAATTTCTTTTTTTTTTTTTTTTTCACCCCTTCTAAAATGATAATTCTGGTGGGAGGATGCAAGCTCAAGGTTACCAGCAAAACTGAGGGATATAAAATAATTACTTACTAGTATCATTAGCTTCCTTTAACTCCCTTCACTCACTAACCTTTTGGCCATTGCTTCAAAGGACCAAGTTAATAAAATTGTGTAGTGCTCTGTATAATTATACAACATTTGACTACAAAAATTACTTYTGTAATTTGCATTAAACATTTGATTAAAACCAAAAAGCAAGACAATTCAGAAGTAAACCTGACAAGTAAACAAGATAAGATAAATAAAATAAGACTCCTTATTTTATTATTATGCTTTTATTTAGGCACTGGTGCACAGGATGCACAGGATGATCGATCCACGCACACCATAATGCCTGCTACATATGGCTGAGACATATCAGTTAAGCTTTTAGCCTTTTAGGTTGGATCATTTGTTCCTTTTCAGTTTGGTCAGGTRCATAACCTAATTTAAAATGTAAACTAAAATCAGGTTGTTTGCTTTTGTTTTATTCTTTCCTTCTGTCAACATTCAGTAATGTAATATTTCATATTCTTGCCTAGCAARCCACAATTTAAAACATTCATGGTATACGGACTTGATAATATTTATCTGAAAATACATAAACAAACATCTGAAAAAAATGGAGAAGAATACACACCTAGTACAAAGCAACACCTTTGAAATATGAGTTCTTGTCAAGCTAATACAGTGTGCTAATTTTAAAAAATGCAACTAATAAACAAAGAACTTAACTCTTGATGAACCCAATAATTCCCTGACATTACAGCAGTAGGAATCACTTCTCTGATTCCGTATGCATGACCCAACACTGGAACTAGACAGGGTTCACTATAAAAGAAACAAATAATAGCAAACTATTTTTGAGAAATCCTCTGTATGACGGGTGTAGCTCACGACAGGGTGCACAGACAAGCAAACTGTATTTTCAGAACCATTCCTCAAGGAATGGAGACAAGTGCAAAGTTATTCACTCTACTCAGAAGAGCCATTTTTTCTGAACAAAATTAACTCAATTCTTCATTCAGTTAAATTGGGAAATTAACTCAAGCTAACAAGTAAGTTAAGTGGCTGAGAGGAAATTTTGACAATGACAATAAATAATCCTGCTCCGATAACTTTGCCTTACTAAAATAGCTAGAATATATTTTCTTAAATAGGGAAAATGATTAGGCTGTGTAAGAGCATATTAGTTATCTAAATTGTGCCTCATGGAATGATTTCAAAATAGATAGTTTTCTTTTTTATTCGGAGGAAGTTCAGAAGTTCCTTTTATCCACTCTTCTATAAACACTTGTGTGGTTTAGATGTTGATTACCTGTTAACTTTTCCATCTCCACGGATGCACATGTGATTTCTCACTAGAACTGCCAAGCAGAATAGCAGCTCCACAAACCAGTATGTGAATGTTTTATTTCACATCATGCATTCACCTAAGCCTAAAAATCTAAACTAGCTTCCAGTTCTAGCACACACTCTTTATCTTCTCAGTTTGCATTTACACTTTTCACCCTTTCTCATCACTTCACTTTTCTCCCAGCGCACTAGAGGCCACATGGTCCCTCCACTCCATGTGTACCTATCTCCTGCTCCCAGATTTCAGACACCTGCTCTCTACCCTCTCTTGTTTCCTCTCCAAGAGAACAATCTTTACACTAGTAYTCGAGTGACTGCATATTTGTATCTGAGTACTCACACACAATTTAAGACTATTWTCTTCACCATCAGAGAGGCATTTTTAAAGACTTTATTTAAAAGGAAAATAAAACCAATCACATGAACTCCTTATGCAGTAAAGCATWTGTACTGTTGTTATTTATAATAGCATGTGCCTAGGTGAACCTGTTCTTTGAACTGCAATTCATATTATTTCTAAATAATACCCTATCAATGCCTACTGAACTGCACAGAAACACTGYTCACGATCACATATTTATTTAAGGCCAGTACATGCTCTCTAAGATTCATTCCAAATGCATTTAGAAGATGAAAAATGAAAAACAAAAATAAATAAAGCAGACAAAGGGCCAAAACAAAAACAAAAAAGCCTATCTGAAGCCATTTTATTCCASTATACACCAATCTTCCCTGCAGTCTTCTGAACGTACCTCTGTCATTGAATTTCTGTTGCTGAGTTAATACTGTCTCAACATGATAAAAGGATCCAATACAATGAAATGGCATAACAAAACATTTTACAGCAGAGACACACAGATGATTAAAGATTTAATCAACAACAACAAAAAGTTATGCTAGCTTTGAAGTATGCTTTAGCAAAACAAATTGTCCAAACAAATGAATAAAGTACACTGAAACAATTCTTTTTTGAGAAAGAACAAGAGYTGCTGATGGCTGTTTAAGAAATGGAAAAAAATGTTAACTACATTTTAAGAACGTGTTTATTAAAGTAAAATATGATAGGAACTGCAGAGCATGGCAAAATTTATTGTGTATGTATGTTTTCCTTTTGTCACAGGGCACATGAAAGTATGAAATATTTTGCTTTCAAGCTTGTGTTCTGAATTACCTAAAGTCGATACCCAGCACACTGAGCAGGAGACATTGTTAAATTTCACTTTGACACCATCATCTGTCACTCCACCTGTACTTTGAAAAATGAACTCTAAGCAATCAAACCACTTTCTTTCATGAAAAATATTAACTGGAGTCTGCAAAAGTAGCCTGTGAAGAAAAGAATGTTTTTGTAATAGTAACAACACTGAATGCTGGTGTAAAGGTCAGATACCAAATAAAACTAAAAACATTAAGAAAAGGAAAATAAATATGCAACCTTTTACACTAAATCAAGRACTTCAGAAGGAAGTTCAGAAAGATCACCATTTGATTAAAATACCCCAGTATTATGGACATATAACAATGCTGTGTCTGAAACTTACCAACACTTGAATTCAGATCTCCATTTTCAGARTCTGCTCCATGCTGGTTATTATTTGCATGATAGTTGGACATAGCTTCCAATTTGATTTTTTTCACTTTCATTGCTTCTGCTATGGCAGCATTGGTGGCAGCTGCTGCTGCTGCAGCTGCTGCTGTCAGACCTGCAAAGAAGTATGAAAAAATTTAATATTCATTATTCTATGAGTCTCCATTATTGTAGGGACTGTTATTCCTTCATGCTTGTTTCATAAAAACACTGCAGAGTATTATTTCTCGTGTATTTGAAAACTATCAACTTTTTCAAGTAAAATGTTTCACAYCATATTTAGAGAATTACTCCTATACATCGATCTAAACTTTAAGTGCATTCACAATACAATCAAAACTAGCTGTAGCTATAAATACATGCAGCCAAAAATCTAATTTGGCTGCAAAATGGCATCCTGAGTGTCTGACTATGGAGAGGTGAACATGTACGTAACTGTACTAAGAAACAAAGAACCACTTTAGATCTCTAATGTTTGACATGTTAAAGAAAATAGAAAAAACTGGTCTATAATTTCTATTTATGAGTAACAGATGACAGAACTGAGACATTTCTCATTTCATACACAACAGCAAAGAGATGTAGTTGTTCTAGGAAGCATCTCTAGAAGAAAGTAATGGAAAACGTTGGTAAAATACTTTATTTTGCTCTCCCCAGACTTGAAGGCATTAAGGTGCTTATCAGTGAGAAAAGGAATTATTAACCCATTTAATACCAATCCCAAAGCCACCTGTGGGCAAGTCAGTGCTCTTCCAATCAAATCAAGTTTCTGCCATCCAGCCATTTACAACAATGTTCTACAAACCCAGGAAATTTTTTGTCAAGAGCAATTGGAGAACCGGTCCAGTAATACCTTCAAAACTCAAAATTAGATACAGCCTTTAATCAAAGTCATAAGCATCAGTTTTTGCCTTCTTCCCTGAGGTAGGGCAATTATTCTGTGGTCCCCAAGGCCTGTTGCTGCCCCACCCAGACCCTCTGCCCCAGCCTGGGTGACAGCAGAGAGAAGCCAGTGTCAAAACTGCACAAGAGCTGCCTCCCCCACATGACTGATGCAGGGGACAGAGGTGGAAATGACTGAGAACTAATGTAAGAAATAAAAGAGAAAGCAATAAAGCCGGTGAGTTTAATGCAAAGATGCACTCTCGGCCCTCCACCTGTGATGCCGCAAGAAGAGACCCTCAGTCATTTTGAATCAAGATTCTTGCTCTGTGGAGAAGGCTTGAAAAACTCCATGTAATTAGTTTAAAGGTGCCTGCTCATCTGATTTTCAGCTACTCTGAGAGGTGTGAAGTGTCTTATGGATCTCAAGAGAATCTAACTCCACAATTTACTATTCTAGTGGGCCAAGGCTGCTGTCTAGCATAGGAAGAGTGCAATTTAGCAGGAAAGATCAAATTAGTAAATAATCTCAGGTTGTTGAGGTAAATATTGCTATCACTATTGCTTCCCAGGGTCTCTTGTTGTCTCCTTTGACTCCTTATATGGAAAACAAGTTCACTTTTGCCATGTTTTTGGCTAGTGATGGGGAGGGACAGACGGCAAAGTCCAGGAGGGAAAAAGCAGAAGGTGAGCAGACATCAAGAAATCTATGAGGTGGCATAAGAGGTGCCTTTGAATATATTGTTTTTTGACAAAGGTTGTTTTTCCTTATTTCTTTGCATGACCACATAAAGATTAGCAAACGGTTTCAGCCTCCTGACCCTCCTCGCAGGATGACTTCTAACACCTCCAAGCATAATGAGAATTACTGACCAAGTGATAATTACAGATCAATATTCTTAAGAAAAGTGCTGCTTCAGGTAGAAGATGTACCAAAAGCCAAGAATAGATCAGAAGGTGGATAAATATGAGGATTTACTTTATTTTAGCTTCTGCTACTATTACAAATTGTGCATGTTCTGATTTTAAAAAGGTATTGACAATAACATGGATTGTTTCCAATTATATTTTTACCTTAGAGGAAGGATATGAAGCCATACATTATTCAAATTTGGTTACAGTCCCTAAATTTGGCCACAGAAAAAGGGATGATGCACCTCTGAACTTTGGTTTGCATCCGGTGCTCATTACAAAACACAATAACCTATACTTCCTTTTTTAATATATGTATACATCACTGAAAGAATTTCTAAAGAACAATCTTTTGGAGGAATATTCCARTACATTATATCCAATGACTAAAACAGCAGGCCCCAAATTTTTGGTTGTGACTACACTTCTACACTTCTGGAAGTTTTTAAGTGCTTCCAAGTATTGGGGTAAATTACATAGTAAACAGATGATGGACAAAGGACTTGAGAGCCCACCTGTAATTATTATGTTTCACTGGGATAATGATCGGGATGCAGAACTCCTCAAACAAAAACTCTCTTTTGCTACAAAATGTGAAAAAAAAAAGAAAGAAAAAAAAAAAAAAACGGGATGCAGAACTCCTCAAACAAAAACTCTCTTTTGCTACAAAATGTGAAAAAAAAAAGAAAGAAAAAAAAAAAGTAAAAGGTATGCTTAGTGCTTCTCTTTGGATAGGGAATAAACTAGGGAAAAACTAAAATACAAATTGCTTACTTATGTAGTATGATTTTAGCAAAGTAATGCTTGTGGTAATAAGTGATAATTTGAAAAAGCAGAAATTAAACTAATAATTCATTGCCTTCTCTTATATAACCACAGAAGTGATTGAAATTATTACTTTGCTATGCAGCAATTAATGGGAACCATACAAATCTGAAATGTGCATCTCGTATAAGCACTGGTGTAAGTTAGGGGGGAAATGTAAGGCATAACACCCAGAATTCTGACTCTGTGCTGTTCCTCACAGCAGTTCCAGMTTACAGCAAGCACATTTTCTCCTTCACTGCTACTTTTTCCTATCACCTGACTGTGACGATATAGGAAAGCAAAAGTCAAGGAAGGCCCAAAGCCAGTTATCAGGGCCACTTGCTTTAGAATCAGTGGGGCACTGTGGTGTACTGGGGTGTGGTACAACCCAAAGATTTAGCACAGGGCCCACTTTCTCTTTCTTTTCTCCCTACTATAGGCAGCCACATATGTTATAAGCAGAAGAAGTTAATGCACTRCTATATATCTATATGCATATTTTAAAATACTAAGTTTTAAAGTCCCAYTATGGGCATATACCCAGGGAAATACTTGGAATTTTTTTTAAGTTTATTGTTTGAAAAAGTCTTTTGATGTAAACATGATTTCATATCAATTTACTCTCATATTAAGTAGCCAAGGAATTTCCAATGTTCACACTTCATTACAGAAATGATATATCTAAAAATGAGACAACCAAATGTAACCCATAAAGGCAACCGAAATGAAAGAAATAAGGATCACACCAAATAGCCACATAGGTATATTTTATTCTTTACAAATATTTATTTGAGCAGTTAAAAAGTATCCTGGCCAAAATATTCAATGGATTAAAGTCAATGGTAGCTGTCATTAATATTCTGAAATTGATAAGTTGTTTATGTCTGGCATTCTTCCTGCTGATTATGCAGTGAGACAGGCAGCTTTATAAATATCTCATCACTCCATCGTCACACAAATTTCATCGACAGTGCTCATGCACAGCTATTAGCAATATGAATCTAACCATTACAAGAGGAATGAAAATCGAACATGTGGCATTAATACGCAGTCCTGGTTCCTAACCATCTGATAGGCAGATGGTGTAAAGCGGATTCTCCAGCTGAAATGAAGGGGCACATCATTTAAAACCTTGTTTGCATTCTAACTGATATCAGTGCCATATTGATATACATGATACATCATGGCAGTATTTGAACAATCTAGTTTGTTTCAGTCATAAATGTTTACAGCCTTGTTTTTTATCTTTAGAAGCATGTTCTGAAGAGCGTATTTTTAATTTATGAAACCTATTGTTTACTTCTGTTGAACCAGAAGATTAGCAAAGAGCAGGAATATTAAATTACCACAACCGCAGCAGTATAACTAAGATGGATGAATAAAGTATGGTTTTTCAATAAAAGATGTTAGTAAAGGAATTAAAAAATTAGCCTAGACATTTTATGCATTAAATACATTTATTCATTTAAACCTTACAGCTTTTTTCCCATGTGACATACTTAGAACTTTAATGCTTTATAAAGCCATTCATTTAAATCTCTTACTGCGTGCAATTAATCTTGTCCAACAATTTAATTCAAAAAGCAAAACATCAGAAAGTAAAGTTCGATTCAACCATCACGCTTCTGAAGTAATCTCCGTATCGCTGACAGTTCCTATAGACTCATCAGCAAAAGTCTGTTCAAGGTGTCTTGCAGGAGCTGTATGAATTTGAATTACAGCTCAATTGAACTCTCGCCAAGCCTTAGGAGGAACTCAGGAACAAGAAGCAGAACACCAAAAGAGAGCGCAAAGGATCCTTTCCTACTAAGACCTTCTCTCTTCTGTCACTAGATTACTTTGGCCTGTTGGGTGTGTTTGTAGCTGTTAATTATGTTAATAAAGTTGCAGCCTGCTGTCTCTGCCAAATATAATCATAAGCTTTCTCCTGCCAAGTCCTAGTCTAATTTACACCCGTGCAACTCGACTGAAGTCAGAATTTCGTGGGTGAGAATGAGACCAGAAGTATGCCCAGTATGTGTGGTCTCTAACGCTGAAAAATGAGTGAACGAAACAGAAAACAATGACAAAAAAACCACAGCATCTTCAGAAAACAATTTTGTTTTAAAAGCAGAGTCCCTGAGAGAGCTGTCATATATCATGGCAGATTTTTGAAATGTATACGAATTACTGGTGGGCACTAAATCACATCCCTGCCTGCCTTAAGAGAAAGGTCTTAAAACTTTCAGTTTTGATGGTGTGAGCAGCTTACAACACAACGTATTTGTGAAGCAAAATAGGAAAGGACCTGTGAGTGTAACTTTTTCAGCCTTGAATATGACTCAAAACACACATTTTTTAATTGTATGCCTAAACTTCATCCTGGGACAAATTACAAAATTATTTAAATGATTGACCTTAATTCACTTTTTACTCTCTTCATATAATTATGCCTAAGATAGGAATTCCAATAAATAATTAATAATTCCCTTAATGCAACTATTAGCTTACTTTATATTTTATTTATATATATAG